CCCCCCCCCCAGCTTCTGATGAATTTTTACACAAGTATGCCATTCTGTCAGCCACTAATAAATCTAACAGGGGCTGGAACAATATTTATTCAGCTTTTCTCATATAGCATTTAATTAAGGCAGGGGTGGGGAACCTTTTTTCTGCCAAGGGCCATTTGGATATTTATAACATCATTCACAGGCCACACAAAATTATCAACTTCAAAAGCTCCCAGATTTATTCAATTTTGAGTCCCACTTGAGAGTTCCTTGGCAGGGCCAGACCCAAAGGCTGGAAGTTCCCCACTCCTGAATTAAGGCTACAATGAACAGGAACTCCAAACAGCAGTGGGTTGGTTCTGCTGCTGTGAGGCTAACTGGCCATCCAGGTGGTGAATGAGCAGGGCTTATTTCAGCCAGGATGTAGTCTAAGGCTGTATCTGTCATCCATTAGGACCCACACAGGGAGCTAAGGGTGACCTGCTGATCTTCGATGTCATTGCCAATAATCACAAGGCTGGAAAGCAGCCCTCATGCCCCATGGAGAGACATTATGACTCATTCTTTCCCACATACAAAAACAGACTGCTGGGGCACAGGGCACTTTGGTTCAGGATTTGTTGTCAACTTGACTTGGAACAACAATGCCCTGGTTTGGTTAAGCCACATGGGCAGTGCCACTGAGTAGTTATAGCCTTCATTGCCATACATGGCATAATCCAGGGCTGCTCAGGTGGCAGAATGTGTGATTTTTATCAGCCAGATTAGGACAAGGCTGTGCAAGTAAATGTGTTTATGAACGTCTAGGGGTGGGGCCCACATTCAGAAGCTGCTACTGAAGGGATCAACACAGCAGAATTGGTCGGGACTGGCCATGTCTACCAGTCATGTTGCCAGCTGCAGATGCCACAGGGCTCAGGTGGGCTAGGTGATTGGCCAGGAAGGGAACACCCACAGGTAGGCAGCAGAATTAGGACTGAGCCCAGAGGCCGAATTCAGCAGGGTGGTGCCCTGTCCCCATTTCAATGCAGGGGCACATGGGAGACCTGAGAAGATTAGAACTGCAGGAAAATATGAAAATCATGAGGCCCACATGATTTTGGTTAGAACCACTCCAATTTTAGGAAGGCCTCGGTCTTCCTCTGAACAGGATGCATCCTTATTCCAACCCTCCTGTGCCTTTCAAGCAGTGTTTCAAGGTGTGGGTTACAGTCCATGGTGGGTCATTTAAAAATAAAAAATCAATTAGGAGCAACCCCCATGCTAATTGAGTGGAGTATGGCCAGAATTTTTAAAAAGGGAACTAGAATAGAAAATACCAGAGCTCACCACAGGCGATAAGGCTAAGTGTTTGGTAAAACTTTACGGGCATTCAAGTGTAATATAAGATATGTTTCATTTCAAAAGATCTGAAAGATGCTCTTTAACAGTTTGTTTCTAGAATGGGACATCCCATGTAGTGTCCTGTGATAATTTTGGTAGAGTTTAAATTAGCAGGCCCATAAAGAAAGAAAGCACATGCTGAAATTTATTTTAAAAGGGAAGGCCCTTTTTATTGAACTTGTACATTTTACTCTCTTCCTTTCAGAATTCTAATAAAAAACTTTCGTTTCTGCTTACTTAAAAAAAACAAACAAACCTCACAAATCAAACAAACAAAGGAAACTATTAAAACATCACTTCTATGGTGGTGGGAAAGGAGGCAAAAGGCTTCAATATAAACAAAGAAAATTATACCTGGAGTAAAGAAATCAAAGAGAACCTGACTCTGGTCTGAGGCCAGGAAGCCCTCTTAACTTCTGAAATAACAAACAGACCAAAAGCCCTAATGATTGCAAAAATACAAATCAATCACTCTATTAAAAAGCACACACACATTCTATACTTGCCCCCACCCCCAGGTTCTCTCCATCAACAGGGGGTCCTGCATCCTGAAGAGGGGCAGCCTCTTGGCGACTGGGCAATCATAGCATATATGTGTTCTTCACCAGATGCTCCTTATCATCCTCAGAGCTCCAGACAGTGCGGAGGGCGCGCTCCTGGTTTCTCCGCGCCACCCTGATCAGGCAGACCACGGAGGCTCCCAGCAGGAGGATCAGGACCATCACGAACAGCCCCGCCAGGACCACCACTGGGGATGAGAGAGAGGCCTCAGGACTGGTGGGACAAGGAGGGCCATGGCCAGTGTGGGGTGGCATAGGGCTTAGGATCAGCAGCCCTTGTGCCTGATGTCCCCCCTCCACCCAACTTGGGAGGGTCTGGAAAACTGACACGGCCACCTGGGAAGTCATCAAGGAGAGTCACAATAGTTCTAAGAAGCTGGTCTTGAAAAAGGGAGGCGCTGTGCTATGTGCACACAAACAGAGGAACCGTGTTCCTTCTTTTTGAACAAACAGCCGCACTTCAACTCTACTTCCCTCCACTGCTCAGGGGCAAGCTGCACAGGAGTCCCAAGCCCTTGCACACCAGGATGGAAACAGCATACACCTCTGGGGTGTGTGGAAACATAAAACCCCAGGTTTTGTGTTCACACATGCTCCACCCCCAACCAGCCACAGAAAAAGGTGGGCCACCAGCAGTGGGAGGCTACCTGTGGAATGAGGTAAGGGTGTATTTGGAGCAGTGCCAGGAGGGGACCCCTTGTGCTCCTAATGGCCCTAGTAAATTTAATAGTGGTCACCCTACTGGTCAGTTAAGATGCTTTCTTTTCAGGTGGGGCTCCATCAAAGGAATGTGGTTCCTGTGATAGCTACCTGGTTCCCTCTCCCCAGTTGGCTACAGAATCAGATAGGGGTAAGTCCCTCTCTATCTTTACCCCACCAGCACTCCAGAAGTGGGCTGCTTTCAGCCCAGGCCTGGCAAACCAGTTCTAGCTTCACCCCTCCTCTAAAACAGAGCAGGCAAGCAGGCTAGGTTGGGGCTGCTTACTAGGGAAACAGGTGGAAAGAGGCCAAACCAGTGTGGCAGGTCCTTTGTGCAAGCACTACCCTCCATGACTCAGAATCAGAAAAGCCAGAGGCCCAGCCTCCTTGTCAGACCACACTGCTGGGGACAACAGCACTGGCTGTGCTTCCCACAAAGCAAGGTCTCCAACTTCCTTCCTGTCACCCATGACCAACTCTGTATATCCCAAACTTGGAGTCAGACTCAGACCTGTGTGCAGCAGATTCCCGCACCTAACAGCAGGACGTGTCCCCTCCAGTCACCCCCAGCATCCGCCGTGTACACTCTGCAATGGGAAACATCTATCACATGTTCCAAGCCACCTAGCCATTCTCCTGCAGAAATACAACTTTCTAGCTAAAGATGTTTATGGTGAATGATGAGGTCTCCCAAGACAACACGAAACTGCAAAACACAGCTGAGCTTACGCCACTTACCTTTAGTGCTGCGGGGCAGGACAGGATAGAGCTGCTTGCCTGGAAGAGAACACACAACCTTGAAGTCAGCTCACAGTCCTCCCCCTGGCCAGAGCTGCTGCCACCTGAAGATCCCCTTAGCCTGGGCCTTCACAGCGGGCTCTTTCTGAGGTGCTTCCTCTGCCAGCTCTTCTGAGGTCTTTAAGACCTTGTGACCTTGGTGGAGACCTAGGACATGTCTGCCCAACAGCTGGGGCCAAAGCCCACCTGTTCCCTACTAGGGAGCCATAGAAAGATGGAGACCAGATGACAGCCTTTCCAAGGCCATGGTTTAGGGATGGGGGATGGACTGAGGGAGGGCCACCCACCCACCACTGCTTCTTGGATCAAGGGGTCAGGCAGACTCACCGAAACAGCGGCTCATGCACGCCTCCTTGGAGAGATAGTTGTTTTTATTGCCCCAGCACCCTCCATAGATAAAGTTACCACAGGAGTTCTTCTCGGCATCAAAGTACCAGCGTAGGAAGGATGCGCGGCAAGGCCCAGTGACCGCCTTGGCATTGCAGTATTCTGAGAGGGGAAGAGCCGAGGAGCACAAATGAGCAGGGCCCAGGGGAAGGGAGATGGAGTGAGAGTGTCCCCAGGCAGTCCCACAGCTGCCAGCCAAGGGAGAACAGTCTCTACAGAAACTGGTGCTTCAGAAACTGGTGAACTACAGACGTGGCCAATCTAGCCCATTAGACACCCTCCTCCATATTTCTAGCATCATTCTCTTTACAGCCAGACTATGTTATTACACAGATTCCTCTATGCCAGGCGCTGTTCTAGGCACTTTCCATGTATTAACCCAGTCTCTGAGAGATCTGTCCTAGGCCCCTGATTTCCCACTCAGGGACTCTGAGGAGCTGGGGAGAGGCAGGGCCTACACGCTGTACTGCCTCTGAAGCACAGCTTCCTGCAGCACGCTGTGTACATCCTGCTGCCTGCCACCCAGGGGCATCCTCGTGCATTCTACACCACCTGGGAAAGGTCAGGAAGCCCCACGCTACAATTTCCTTAGTGGAGATCCTCAAGTGTGTCTCAATTCCAACTGAAGAAAATACATCTTGCCCATATAAAAATATTTTTTAAAAGTTATACTTTCTACCATCTAAAATTTAAAAATGTATTAAAGTTATACCTTCGTAGTTCAAAATATCGCTGGAGGAGTCATCAAAATTCTGACTTCTAGGAGCTAAAACACAAACATCCAAGTCAGGGAGGCTGGGACAAACACAGGACACATAATCTGGCTGGGGCTGAGTCTAGAAGGGCCCACTGAGGGAGTGTGGACACTGGCACCTAGAAGGAAGGGTGTGGAGCTTCCGAGTGGGCAGCTTTACTTTATCACCCCCGGTTCTAATAGGCTCTACAGCACACACCAAATGAATGCTGGATGGGGAGGCCCACCTGCCACTCCAGGGGTTGCTATGGAAACTAATCCCAGCCACAATTTCTAGGGTGATGAGGAAGCTGGTCTTCTTCACTCTCTACACAGTGAGGAGGCCCTTCCCTTACTCTCCTGGGGAAATTTTCTTCTGAAACAGGACTGAAATCAGAGTTATTATGCCAGTGCCCCAGGGTTCTGGATGACCTTGGAAAAGCCAGCTCAGGAATAAACAGCCCAGGCAAAGCAATGGCCAGGACGGTCATAGGATTCCTGGCCTAGCAAAACTGGAAAGCGATTCTAGCCTAACTTCCAGCATTCTGCAAATCACAGAATAAACACCCACTGTCACATAAGTGCTGGTGTCAGAGGACCAGAGCCAAGAGGGCAATCGGTGTGTGGCCACTAGCCTACTGGGGGCTGTCCTCCAATGGGGTGGGGGCAGATTCCCTCCCTCCACAGAAGGTCTTGCCCAGCAGGGCCTTCGGGAAAGCTGGGTTGGACTTGCTAGTGTGTCTGTACCACTCACCCCAAGGCTCCTGATGCAGAGTCCTTTAAGCATTAAGGAGGAATGGGGCAGCTGCTGTCAGCACTACAAAGCAAGCTAACACAAAGCTCGAGATCAAGAACTGCAGTGGAAACAGGTGGGCGGCAAAGGACAGGACCATTAGCATAAGGAGGGAGATGGCAAGGACCACAGGGAGGAGAGGAGACAGAACAGGCAAGGACAGGTGAGTGGGCAGTGAGACAGCAGAGGCCAGCCTAGAGAGAAGGGGCCTGGGCCACATGGGCAGCGACCACAATCCCTGGACCCCCGGGAGGAAGCTGAAGCCAGCTCAGAAGCACTGCAGAACCCCCGGCCCTCCTTTCTGTTAAGGATGCTGGTAAGGAGCCAGAAGCTGGCAGCCCAGGCAAAGCCCCTGTTTGCCAATACTGAGTCAATAGAGCCCGGAGGTGGAAGCCCATGTACAAGGCCCATATTACAAATGTCCTTTCAGTTACCCATCTGGACGGCCCTCATTCCATCTTGGGTCTTTTTAAGAACCTACCACTTGGGATAGAGGAATCTGCTCCATTCTTGCTGGTGGCCAGACCATCAATGATGTTATCTACGAGGGGACAAATAAACCACACAGTGAGAAAGTGCCCCTCCCTCCAAGATTGCTGGTGAAACAAATAAGCTGTGTCGCTGAGCAGTTGTGGCCCTGTGTACATCTCATGGAGACTCCGGTTTCTCCTTTATGTGGGCCTTTCAATGTACATGCTGGACCACAAGCCTGCCAGAACTTGGAAATAAGGAACCAAGACTGTCCTTGTGGGTTAAACTTTAAATAGACTTGCTGGGAGCAAAGACAAGTGAAATGAATGTAAAAAGACAATATGGCTTCCAGGGCCAAATACCCTGTTAACTGTATTAACCCATCTAATGAATAAAAAGTTATGTGAATGTACTTAATGCCACTGAACTGTACAATTATAAATGCTTAAAATCGTAAATTTTATGTCACACACACACACACACACACACACACACACACACAGAGTGAAGGGGGTGAGGTGGAAGGGCTAGCCACTTAAGGAAACACAAAAAAGGGAGTGCCAGCAGGGTGCAGGAGGGAGGGACCCTGACTCCCCATCTCCCTACTGATCCCAACAGACCTTCTGGAGAGGCACAAGGCCAGCCTGACCAGATGCCATTAAACATTCATGTCACAAACCAGCTCCCCTTGTTCTGCCTCTCTCTTCATCAAGCAATCTTCTGGGAACTTGGCCGAGAGGACTGCCTACATGGACTACAGGTGCAGGCACAGGACCCAAGTGTCTGGTCCCTTGGGTGGTTCTGGTTATTATAAATTAATAAACTGGCATTCTCATTATCATGTGGCTTCCCACAGAGCTTGCCTGCCTGGGAGAGAACATGCTGGCAAAAGGCCACAGTGCCTAGCTGCTCTCGCAGTTCAAGCTCTTATACAGACTCATGAGAGACGCCTCAAGAGATGGGCAATGGAGACATGCTCTGGTACCAAGAAGGAGCTTTCTGGGCCCTTAAGACTAGGGCCAGACTCTGAACAAAGACAGCTATTCCTTTCTCCAGCAAAACACAACCACCTTGTAGTGACCTCCTGTCTTAATGCCTAGTGTCTACTGCTCGCATTGTTAAAAACAACTCTCTTCCTGAGAAAATGAGGAACAACCAGAATAGGCAGGTACACTTCCTATAGTCAACTCAATTAGAAAAGAACAGAAAAAGTAGCAATGACATTTCCCCTTAATTCCTCCCCCCACACTTGATCTCAGCTGATGGAAAATTACAATAAATGTTATTTTCCTCAGTCTCCATGTGGCAAGGTTGCCAGTTGCTCCCTGAAATGTGAGCTCACCTGTATGATTCAAAAACAATACCCTGCCACCCCAGCTCTCCAAACACTTGTTGAGCGCCTGCTGGGCACCAGGCACACAAAGATCAGTAACACATTCCTCAAGGCGCTCAGTCACACGGGCTTGGGTGCTCAGCAGTATGTTTCAAACCTCAAGTCATAGCCAAGGGCACTGTTTTCCCCATCTTTACATATAACTTTAAAATAAGTTTTATCTGATTTTCTAATGCACAGCACAAAGCCGAGACAGCTTACAACCAGTGAGTGAGAAGACATAAAAATCCCACAAGGCTGCAGGACTCGGGCTCACAGGTTGGTGGTATGCAGGGAGCAGTAAAGACACCAGCACATCCTGACACAGAATGAAAATCAAGTCCTAATGTCAATGCTAAGCCATGAAGAATGGCAGCAGGAAGTCAAGTAACAATGTTTGGGAGACTGCCAATTAAAATGTTTGGTAGTTTGGGAGTCTCTGGAATACTTGGGAGAGATCAGGCTCCAGAAGGCCAATGTCTCATTGCCATCAAGAGGTCCGTCGCAGCTCAGTTCAGAGTCAGTGCAGGTTGTTATGGGGCTTTAGGTTTTTATTCAAACTGTGAGGCTCTCAGGGTCACTGTTATCTTGGTTCTGAAGAATCCTTTGCAGGTGATTCCAGGAAGAAGGATGGGCTCCAGGAAGTATGTTCTAGTTTTAACTCGACTCAGAACTGCTGGCTGGGTGAGCTCCTCAAGTCATTTGTTCCAGAGGTAAAAATAACCCAAATGCCCAGGGAGCAAGCCTGTCTGAGTGGACGTGGGGGATTCTGCTCAAGAGGAAGACATTTCCTCCTATGCAGGGTCTGGTGTGGGACCCTGCACTCAGTAGTGGGAGAAAGGAAGTCATAAGGAAAACGCAGTCCTTCCCCTACCCCGGCCTGTTCTTCTCTCTGGGAAGAGGATAGAGGGGACCACTGTGAAACCACTGTGTGAGCGACCTACGCACTGTGCCTGTTTCTTCTGCTTTTTAAAACATCCCCCAGGTTCAGCCATGAAGAACTAGTAATTCACATCCCAGTGAATCAACTGACTCTAAGTAATAACATCTCAACTACCACTGTCTTACCTGTGACATCAGCACATTTCTCAAGACACTTCTCCTTGGTCAGGTAATTATTGTCGTTCCCACCACAGCCTCCATATACAAACTGCTGGCAGGATCCGCCAGTGGCATTGTACCACCACCTCTGCATGGAGGCCCGGCATCTTCCCACTACCTTTGGAACTCGGCAAAAGTCTGAAACACAAAGCAGAGACCAGTTAGCTTGGCAGGGCAATCCCAGCAACAAAGAACATGCCCAGACCTGCAAGAGGAGGCCGATGGTTTTCCAGAGCCCCAAAAGGAGGGCCAGAGCCTCAATTCCAGCACAGTTGCTCTGTGAGCTGTTTCTACAGGGTCACTATCAGGCCCCCTTGGTGATTCCTTTCTTGTACAGGAAAGAAGGACATCATCTAACGACAAAGATACCAACTGTATTCTGGTTGCATGTTAATTCTGTCCCTGCCCTGATTACCAAAGACACACACATCCAGTATAGAAATATGGCGTTCAAAGGCAAAAAACAGACTTCAAGGTCCTTTTGAATGCGTGCCCCATTACAGGGGGCCAAGGGGAGCTGTGTCTGAAAGGTCAGCATCTGCGATGGGAGGTTGGGAAGGAAGCACACTGGCACTCTTAGCAACCCTCATGAGGAACTTTCTTAACCTTCTCTATCCACTCCTTGCATATTTAAGTTACCACAAGAACCTCAGAAAGAACTCCCCAACTCTAGCTCCCTCCCACTGCCAACCCCCAGCTCCAAGGCCAACTCAGGTCACTCCTCTGCTCCAGTGCTATAATGGCTCCCACCTGAGCATACCAAAGTGCCCCCAAATCTGGCCCCACTCTAGTACAAAGGAAACAAAACAATGTTATCAAATTCCAGCCAGATACATCTGCCTGAGAAAGGCCTAGCAATCTGCTCTCTCTCTTAAAAAAAGTAAGAGATAAGCAAGTGTTGGAGGTATCACCGTCATCAAAATAAGACTTTCTCCTGGAGGAGTGAGGAGGATTGAAAGCAACTTAAAAAGGCCCTGTGAGTCAACATCTGCCCTGTACCACTGTATCACCCTCCGACGTGATCATGAGTCCACACTGCCTCTCGCTACACATCCNAGCCTAGCAATCTGCTCTCTCTTAAAAAAAGTAAGAGATAAGCAAGTGTTGGAGGTATCACCGTNGGCCTAGCAATCTGCTCTCTCTCTTAAAAAAAGTAAGAGATAAGCAAGTGTTGGAGGTATCACCGTCATCAAAATAAGACTTTCTCCTGGAGGAGTGAGGAGGATTGAAAGCAACTTAAAAAGGCCCTGTGAGTCAACATCTGCCCTGTACCACTGTATCACCCTCCGACGTGATCATGAGTCCACACTGCCTCTCGCTACACATCCTGGCCTCCACAATCTGCCTTCTGGGCGACTAGCACAGGGTGCTCAATAAGCGTCTCGATAAACATCCCAGGGCCTAACACTTGGTTCCATGTTGTCATTTACTCCTTTCTAGTTGTTTTCATGTCTGTTAGGTTTACTTCACCAACTAGAGGATGACTCTAGAAAACAAAGAAGGACTTGTGCTTCTCTTGTCCCCCAAAATGTGTCACAGTGAAGAACATGAAACCAAATGTTCCACAAAACATCAGTCTGCACAAAAAGGTTGGTGCTGTGCAAAACACCTCCCAGAACGCCACCCCCCCAATCAATAAATCACACGTTACTGGTATAGCAGGAAAAGCATGTTCTGAAGTGAGAAATTGTTCATTTGAAAGCAACTATCAATGAAACCACCAGTTAAAACGTACCTTACCTGGACATGGGGTACAAACAAAATCATAAGCATGTCCAGAAAAGGCAAATCAATAGGACAAGGAATGGATTACTAATTCCTAGTGCTGAAGAGTGGGGCATGGAGTTCCTGCAAATGCGCACAAGAATCTTTTGGAGATGATAGAGATGTTCCAAAACTAGACTGTGGGGGTAGTTGTACAACTCTGTAAATGTACCAATGGTCTTTGGTATGTAAATAATACCTTAAAAAAGCAGTTTTTAAGAAAGTAGGGATACCTTTTGTCCATAACACAGCAACCAGAACCAGCTGGGTGTACCTGGAGCAGGTACTTTCAACAATGTGCCAAAGGTTACAAAACATACCCAGTCAACATGGCCCAGGGAAAATAAGGCAGGAGAGCTCTCTGGTGTATGATTCTGCCGTACCCACATGGCTGGTAAAATGTCAGTGGCAGCACTGCTATCGAGACAAGACAGTGAGGATCTACAGTGGATCCACTTATGACCTGAACTGAAATCATCATCAAGGCAGGGAGCACCCAACTGCTAGAGGCTGCAACAGCCTGCCCCATGCCCTGCCAAGCTGAGAGCCCTAGAAGCACCCTGACTGCCATGTCCTTGCTTCCTAAGTACTTTCAGCTACTGCCTTTTTGGAAAAGACCCAAGGGTGGAACTGTACACTTTAAATGGGTGAACCATATAGTATGTGAATTACATCTCAAAACAAAACTCGAGCCCTGGCTTGTCTGGTTCAGTAGTTAGTGTGTCAGCCTGTGGACTGAAGGGTCTAGGGTTCGATTCCAGCCAAGGACACATACCTCAGTTGCAGGCTCGATCCCTGGCCCCAGTCGAGGCTCATGTGGGAGGCAACCAGTCAATGGGTCTCTCTCACATCAATGTCCGTCTGTCTGTCTGTCTCTCCCTCTACCCCTTCCACTCTCTCTGAAAAGCAATGGAAAAAATATCCTTGGGTGAGGAAATAAACAAACAAACAAACAAACCCCGAGAGAGGGTCAATTGAAGCTCAAAGTAGGAACCACCAGATACCAATGCAACAGGGTGACCGCAGTATAAAGAGTGGAAATTTGGTGGCTTTTCATAAGCAAGGATGCCAGATACACAATCTATGTAAGTATGGAAACCTCAGGGTTTGTAAAGAACAGGGGGAAAAAGCCTATCCAGGAGTGGATGGCAGTTTCCTTGGTGAAGGAAGTCAACACTGCCTGGAATGTGGCCCTCTTTACAGGGGTAGTAGACACACACACAGGGATGCACACAAGAGGATACTGAGAAAATAACTGTCAAGCGGGCTGGATGTGTACATTCACCAGCATACCACCTGAGAAAGTAGGGTTCCCAGGCACATCCTCTCCCTCGGGTCTGCTTCTGGGACGCTTCCTTTCCTGACTGGAATGTTCCTTCTGAGGATGTGCTGGTCCCTTCCTTACTAATCATTCAGGCCCAGGAGGCCATTCTATCACAGACAGCTGCTCACAGCTGCTCTCAATTACCACACACTGATTTCATAGTTTAACTTTCAAAAGCAGCCTATTTCCAGGTTCCTTGGGTGCAGTAGGAGAAGATGGGGAAACTTTACTTTTGTCCCAGGGAAATCTAGAAGTGTCTCTTCATTGAGAAAAGTTAGACAAAACACTGTGTCTGGAGAGAATATTGATAATTGTCAAAGCTGTGTGATGGTTTATGGGGGCTCATAAAACTGTTTATTACTTTGTTGTGCACACTTGAAAATTCCTATTCTTATAAAAAGAGAAAAGAATATCTTTTTCAATCAAATCTTATTCAAGTAAAAGAGCTCTAAGTAGCAGATTAATTGGCCCAAACTAGGTTCAATTAAGATGAAATTTAACCATCCCCTACTGTGTCAAGACAAGTGCTTTCTGTGAGTACAGAAGCTCCGTGCCGAATGGAGGAAAATCTCATTTTGTCACATGCTGTTACTAACTAAACTGCTTTTGAGTTTCTATGATATAAGTTTTTACTCTCTAGACTTGAGAGAAGTGAGCTCATGAAAAATAAGTGTCTGCTTGTTTGTTTCAAAGGCGACAGTGTTCCTTTAGGAAACACAGGCTATATATTCTTGGCTTTCATCCCAAATAACAAAACATTTTCTCTTTTGTTGTTCTCAAAAAAGCTTGTATGAGAAACCAGAAATACTTTCAGTATATAAGACGACGTCTCAGACTTATCTTCCTTAAAAGAACTTAAAAAAAAAAAAAGGTGAAAGTACTGTACTGTGGTAGATCCAGATTAAAATAAAAATGCAGAGATTTACTTATTTCTTGACACCCCGTTTATTGCCTTCACCAAGTAGTATGTCAGACACATTATGTGCACTATTTCTAATGGTCACAATAAAACTGTGAATCATGTAGTAACATCCCCACTTTACAGACGAGGACACAGGCATGGTTGGATGGTTAAGCTAAGTGAGCAGAAGACCTGGATGTGCACTCAATTCATACTGGTCTGACTTAGGAGTACAACTGTAATGACCTCCTCAGACTGAAAAAGCCACTACAGTACCAGGCAGTGGGAAAAACAGGACACTGAAGTTGCCTAAAAGCCACAACATTCTTGAAGACCTTTATCACAATCTGAGGGCTCACCAAGGCCATGCCCTTGGCTGGGCCTCTGTTTTCAGTCACATTCTATTACAGGGTCAGGGACAACATCATACTAAAGGAACTGGGCAAGGCTAAGGGGGATTTGTTGGACAAATTTTCAGGAAGTTCTTTCTTTCCTTTTTTATTTTATTAAATATATCTTTATTGATTTCAGAGAGGAAGGGAGAGGGGGAAAGAGAGAGAGAAACATCAATGATGAGAGTCATCGATCATCTGCCTCATGCATGTCCCGGACTAGGGATCAAGCCCGCAGCCTTGCATGTGCTCTGACTGGGAATTGAACCTTGATCTCCTGGATCCTAGGTGGATGCTCAACTGCTGAGCCACGCCCGGCCAGGCAGGAAGTTATTTCTTAAATGAATAATTCTATTATTAAGGAGATGACAAAATGATACATTGTCTTAGAATAGTGTTAGGAAATAATCATGAAAAATGTCCTAAGTCCTACTTGTATGCTCACAAATGCTAGTGCAAAATTAAACACTTTTGTCCGGGCTGGATGGCTCAGTTGGTTTGGAGTGTTGTCCCATGCACCAAAAGGTTGCAGGCTCGATTGCCGGTCAGAGCACATACCTAGGTTTCAGGCTCACTCCTCCAGCCGGGACACATACAGGAGACAACCGATCGATGTTTCTCTCTCTCTCAAATCAATAAACATATCCCTGGGTGAGGATAAAAAATTAAATTAAATACTGTTTTCAAAATACAGAGTAAGAAAAGCTGAAGGGAACCAAATTTGGATATACTAGCTTCGCAATATGCAAAAATGGAA